AGTACGCTACTAAAAGGACTATAAGTAGAGGAAAACTAGTACTATAGATCCTTAGCAAATTTATCTAATTTATACTAGTAACTACTCTTAGGGTTAGCCTCTTATATTATATACCTATAAACCTTATAAACTTCTTTAGTATAAATAGGTTTATTATATAGTAATATACCTTACAGAACTAGTTACCTTTAAGACTAACTACTAGAAAGGCTAATAATATAATAAGGTAGAGCTTAAAATTATCTATTCTAGACGTCTATTCTAGTAGAGCTAGCTAGAATCTATAGTAAAGTTATTCTATAGTAGAAAAGACGTAGTAATTATAAGGATATTTAACTACTAAATATTTATTTATATTATTAATATAGGCTATAAGTAAATTCTAGGCCTTTACTTAGTAGTTAATAAAAGAAAAGGTAGGTAGGTATTTAAAGCCTATATTAAGTATATAGAAAAAGAATATAAAGATCTTCTATAAATAAAAAAAGTATTAAAGGTTATAGTTATTTTAATTATAGTATTTTACTATATTTAAACTATACTCTTAATACTAGTATAAAGATAGTATACTTTTAGTTCTTTAGTTAGATATAGAGTAGCTATATATTTTAATATCTAACTCTATTATATCTCTTATATAGTATACTAAAACTTAGTATATTTTAGCTATAGATTTATCTAGATAGCTAGAGTATCTAAGATAATAGTATATTTAGTTACTTAATATAACTTAGTAAGGTATACTATACTTTAAAACTATACCTTAAGTTATTCTAGTATAGAGTTTAGCTTTAAGACTATATTAGTTATTTTTAGTAAGCCTAGTACTACTATTTAAGTTTTATCTTACTTATTACTAAAAAATAGACTTATACTATTACTATATAGTAGCTCTACTACGTTATCTTCTACCTAGAATACTAAGTATACTTTAAAGTATAAAGTAGTATTACTACCTTTTAGAACTAAAGTAAAGAAATACTAGCTTATAATAGTAGTATATAGTATTTAAGTACTATTTATATTTATACTATATAAACTATAGATATATATCTTTATATTCTTTTCTATACTATTTCTTCTAAAAATAAAGAGGTAGCTAGTATATTAAATAAAGTCTTTATAGACTTTAAGTTTTAAAATAGCCTTAATAAATATTAGTAGAAGCTTAAACTTTATATATATTTTCTTTAAAGTTTATAAGATATATACTAGTAAGCTTATAATAGCTTTTTTTATATATTTTTATTCTTTAGAGGTTGTCTATACTTAATAGAGGTTAGTAAAGTAGGCTAGAACTTTATCTAGTAATACTATATATTAGTAAAAGATATAGATAATAATTCTATATTAGATATCTACCTTAATTAAAGAATAGATATAAATAGTTAATATATTTTAGTAAAGATATATAGTACTAATAAATTAAGAAATACTAGCTATTTAAATATATATTATATATAACCTTTTCTACTACTATTATAGTAGTATAGCTACTATATTACTACTTATAAAACTCTTATTTTAGTATTTCCTTCTACTAGCTATATATAAATATATCTACTATAAAAGTAGAAGTAATTATTATATATATTAATATTATAGATATAGTATAATAGTTTTATTATTATATACTTAAAATAAAGCTATCTTATTTTCTTCTACTATATTTAATAAAATACTATAGAGTTTATACTAAATAAAAAATAAACTTTATATTTATATAACCTAATATAATATACTTAGCTATAAAATATATATTAGTATTACGCTATAAGCTTAGAACCTAAAGTAAAATAGTAATTTAGAAATTATAAGAGTATATATCTCTATTATAATAACTTTGTTATTAAAATATCTATATCTAATTTTAGAGTAGCTATAGAGAAATATTCTTTTAATATTATAAGTTAAGAAGAAAAAGTTAATTTTATTAATTATATATCTAAGTATTTAAAAGGTAAGTCTACTAGATACTAAGTAGTACTAAAAGAAGATAAAGGTTCTTAAATAATTATTATATAATATCTACTAGATATATTAAAGTAGATCTACTAGTAAATTAATTAATATTAACTAGTTAAGGTAGTTACTACTATATATAATACTTTAGATAGCGTTACTACTAAAAGTAGAGAAAAGGCTATAGACTAAAGAAATACTAATAATAATAGTATATATAGTACTAAGTAAGCTAAAAAGAGCTATAATACTAATTTATATAAAAAAACTAAAGAGTTAATAGAATAATTAAATACTACTTTTATATAAATAGTAGTAAGTAGCTAAAAGGTTACTATAACTAATAGAGATATTACTTTATTAAGTAATAAATAGATTTAATACTAGAACTTTTCTAAGAGATTTATTAGTACTAGTATAACTATAGTTACTAGTATAATTACTAGAGCTATTATAGTTAGTATAGTTAAATTAATTAAGAACTAGGTTATAGTTCTTTCTATATAGTAGTTATAGTTTAATAAGAGTAAGCTATTATTTATTAAGAGTAATAGCTAGAGATTCTTTATTCTATTTACTACTAGATTTAAATTAGAAGATAAGCTAGACTATATAATTAAATAGTAAAATACCTAAATAGCTCTAACTTAGACCTTATTAAATTTAAATAATAGTAGTAGACTCTTAATACTAGATATAGCTAATTTTAGAAACCTATTCTTTACTATATAGTCTAATAAAGTAGTTACTTTAGTTAGTAAAATATAGTATTAATAAATTATATCCTTTCTTTATATAAAATATAAAAGACTTAAAAAGTTAATATAAAGTAAAGCTAAGTACTTTAAAAGAGGTTAGAGTTTTATAATATTAGCTAAAAAGTAATTATTCTTAGCTATCTATAAAAAGTAACTTACTAACCTAATATCTAAGTAGCCTATAACTACTATATTAAAATAAGATTTTCCTAAGAAATAGATATTATACACTAGGTACCTTAAATATAGAAAGAAATAGAATATACTATATAACTAGTTTACTATAAAAATCTTTATATTATTACTCTAAGTAATAATTTTAAATACCTACCTTAAGTATTCTATTATATAGATAAGACTAGCCTAGTAGATAGAGCTGTTAGCTAAGTATAATAAAAAGGCTATAAGTCTTACTTATACTTTTACTATAATATATATTTCTTATATAAATAAATAAGCTCTTCTAGAACTAATATAATAAAAAAATACTAATAATAAGAAGCTAGTAAATATTTATATAGCTAACTTATTTAGAAATAATTCTAGTTAAATAAAGAAGGTTTATAAAGTCTAAAATACTAAAGATAATATATTTAAATTAGATATTAAGTAGTAAATAGTAGTATAATAATAATTCTTATTATATACTTCTAGTTTCTAACTACTATATAGTTTTATTATTAAGGTAGCCTACTCTTTTAGAGCTATTCTAGATCTATTTAACTATTTTAAAAGTTATTAGATACT